CCTCGGGCCCGTGCCCCGTCCTCCCTGGTACCAGCCGCGGGGAGCGTGTGCTCAGGCTCCTGGCCCGGGGAGCCAGCAAGCGGGTTTGGCAGCATCCTGGAGGTTCTCCTGCCAAGTGCTGCGTGGCAGCCGAAACGATCCTGGACGATGCTCCGGGGGGCCGTTAGCGGTTCCCCGGCAGCTTCCCGTGGTCTGGCGAGCCGCCCGAGACGGCTGGTGCCCGGGTCCTTGCTGTGCCTGCCTCGCTCCCCAGCCCGCGTGGGCACCGGGTGTCGGGTGCCAGGTGGGGGGGCTGCATGCGCTCTGTGCCCTGTGGCGATTCGACAGGACCCCGTGTCTCCGTCGCGCAGGTATGACGCGGGCAAAGACGGCTTCATTGACCTGATGGAGCTGAAGCTGATGATGGAGAAGCTGGGGGCTCCGCAGACGCACCTGGGCCTGAAGAACATGATCAAGGAAGTGGACGAAGACCTGGACAGCAAGCTCAGCTTTCGGGAGGTGAGGGGCCCCGGGGCCCTCCACGCTGGCAGGGAGGCATCCCCGGCTGCCGCTCGGCTCAGTGCTGGGCTGGGGTGGCGGGCAGAAGGCGGGGAGGGAGGCGCGGTGGTGGCTTTGAGGTCTCGGGGGAGCCGACGGCAACGTTTCCCCTCGCAGTTCCTGGTGATTTTCCGCAAGGCGGCGGCGGGCGAGCTGCAGGAGGACAGCGGGCTGCACGCCCTGGCCCGGCTCTCCGAGATCGACGTCTCCACGGAGGGGGTGAAAGGTGCCAAGAGCTTCTTTGAGGCCAAGGTGAGGCGAGCACCGGGGCACACGAGGTCCTGACACGGGACGGCGATGCACAAGGGTGGTTTGGTGGCGGCTCGCTGGGGACGACGGGCGGGCAGGAGGTGGAGAGGTTGGGGTGGGCAGCAGGGCTCGGTGGGGGTCTCGGGGGACGCAGCCAGCTGTGCCACCATCTGCAGGTGCAAGCCATCCATGATGCCAGCCGCTTCGAAGAGGAGATCAAGGCGGAGCAGGAGGAGAAGAAGAAACAGGCGGAGGAGCTGAAGCAGAGGAAGGCGGCGTTCAAGGAGCTGCAGTCCGCCTTCAAGCAGTGACGGGGTGCTGGCGCGGGGCCGGGCAGGACTGGTGTGCGGTGCCCGGGCCGGGAATGCTGTGTGTGCCATGTGCCAGCCGTGCCGGGAGC